AGTTATGTTTAAATGTTTGGGTGATTTTTGTTTCCGTTTAAGGGATGATTTTGTTATTGTTTTGTTTTGTTTTCAAGGACGATTTATGGGTCTCTCTCTCTCTCTCTTTTCTTCTCTTTATTTTTTCTCCTTTCCTTCCCACCTTCTTTCGCACACACACAAGCACACACACACACGCGGCTAATGAAAGCGGGTGGTCACAGAGTGTTTGCTTTTATACCCACACCCCTGTAATCACCCCTCCCCCCCCCCTCCCTACCTACGCCCATTCCCTCTCTTTCTCCCTTCTCCTATTTCGTGACCTCTGCCCACACACACCCACCCATTACCCTCTCTCTCGGCTCTCCCTCCCTTCTTTTATTCCCCATTCCCTTCTTCCCTTCCTTTCCTGCTGTAACTGTGTATTGTTTAGGCTTGAGTGTTTACATAAGCGCCCCTTCGTTGAAATTGGCTTAATTATGCGCATTCTCTTCTTCCTCTGTATCTTCTAATTCTTCTTCTAATTCTAAATCTTCTTTTTTTCCATCTAATTCCATTTTTTTTAATTCTCCCAATTTCTTCTTTTAATTCTTCTCATCCTTCTTCTTCTCTAATTCACTTCCTTAGTGATAATCCATCACGGTAGAAAGAAAGAGAAAACGAAGAGAGGAGACGATGAAATAACCATAAAAAAAAACAGGAGGGGAAAAAAGATTAGGCGAAACGGCCTCAGAACGCACGAAATGACGAAAGCTGGATAGGCCTATAAGCGTAATGAAAGGTGTGCCTCTGTCCTGTAATTTACTCGACCACCTGGCCCAGCCTCCCAGATCATCATCTCGCGAAGCCTGTAGCAAAGGCAAGGATCAGGAAGGAGGAGAGGGGAGAGGGGAAGAGGGGAGGAGAGGGAGGAGAGGGGGAGAGGAAAGAGAGGGAGAGGAGAGGAGTAGGGAGGGGAGGAGAGGGAGAGGGAGAGATTGGAAGGACAGAGATGGGAAGAATGAGAGGATATGGGGAGAAAGGAACAGACTGAAAAAAGTAGGAAATGGAAGGAGAGAAGGAGGGAGGGAAGAAGGAAACGGAGGGAAAATAGGGAAAGAGAACGAAGAAGAAGAAGAAGAAGAAGGAGAAAGAGATAAAGAAAGAGATAATAATAAAAAAAAGAAAACGGACACTTCTGCCAGCCTCATGCTTGCAAAACTCCTCATATGCAAAACACATGCAAAAGACCGTATTCCGCGCCCGGGCAGAGTGCATAATTGCGCGTTCTTTCGTGTTCTGACGAGGGAGAAAGAGAGAGATAAAGAGAAGGAGAGAGACTGGGCGGAAGATGTAGGCAGCGAAAGTAACGTTCTTGATGAAAGCTCAAACGTCTCTTCTTTTAGAATTTTTTTTTTATCCTTTTTTTTTTTTCATCTTTTTTCTTTCCTTTTGTATAGAAGGAGGTCTTTTCTCCATTTTTTATTTCTCTTTCTCCCTTTCTTTTTTTATGATTCTTTCCTTTGCCTTTTTTCCTTGTCCCAATTTTTGCTATTGCTGTCGAGAAATGGGAAAGGGGAAAAAAAGGTGTGTCACTTTTTAAAAAGTTTAGGTTTTTTTGTTTGTTATTTCCATGTTGGTTTTATTTATTCATTTTCGCCCTGGCTGTGCTGAATAGATCGTCCTCAT